TAAACCACTACAACCTCCTATGAAAAAATGGTGGAGAACACAGTTTTCTTTCTTTATAGATAACTACAGACATATTTTTCCACTGCAGTGCTAACAGACAAAACAACTTGCTCCAATTATACTTATGACTGGCTAAAATGTAAAGTAATGTTACAAAATTTCCCTTGGTAATTCCAGTGACTAAATTACATATTGCAAAACTGACCTTTTGTAAACTCCCAATTTTAAACTTGCTAAGGATTTCATTACATGTACTTACTTGCATGAAGGCCTCATACATCTTCCCTAAGATAACGACAAGATACACTGTAGTTTTTTTCTTACACATTAAAATATTGTAAGATAAACCTTACTGCTTGCATGCCACACAGATTTAGTGTTGTTTATGTCAGAAAGTTGTTTTTCTCTTAGAAACAGACATGTTCTAGAAATATCATTTCTTATTTGCTAGCTCAGATTAATATATTTTAGAAATATCTACTGTCCATCCAATCCAACAGGGTATGTGAGTGGATTACTTTGTAGCTTACTTTCCTCATAGTCCTTTATTTTAGGCAGAGGCAATGTGCACTTTTGTCACAATTCAACTCTACATTTTAAATTGGAATCCCCTTTCAGTAGCTCTGTATGAAACTTGACATATGCATATATATGGGTTAAAAATGGGTGTAAAATGCCTGCACGTGTAGAAGCATTGATTCAGATTAGAGGTTCTTACCTACTTATCTCCTCAGACAATAGACTAAATATTAATTATAAAACTATGAAAGTAATATACAGTAAATATAAGGCTATATATACTAAAATTTTCAAGAATGGAAATGGTAACAGGGGCAGAAAAGGTGAGGATATCTATACTGTATGAATTCCAGTGATTTCATATCCATTCACAATCTTTATTCAATGCAGAGTGATGCTTAATGCTACCTTGTGCCAGCAAAAGCTCACTACTTTCACAAAGAAAGGGATTTAATTCCTCAAAATCAAATTAGACACATATTTTTTATATTGCATCCTTTTTCTTGGCATTGCTGTTTCTTGGTTTAAAGCAAGATAATTTTCAGCAATTTTTGTTTTATTTTCTGGCAAGTATGCTAAATATTACAATGAAAAAATAGTGTAGTCACTAAGCACTTTATCTCTCTCTTACATCCTCTCTCTCCACATGACATGCTGGTGTTACTGCTCCCTGTGTGACCTAATACAGTGAGAGCATCTAGAAAACATTCACAGAACAATTGGTGGTAGAAACTAATCAAGCATCCATGACAGGCAGATGAGCAAGCTGCAGCAGATGATTAAACAACATATTTTCTGGTTTGTCTCCTTTTCTTGCTTTCACCCAGATGGATATTATTCTAAAAGATATCACTTATGACAAAGAAGTACTTTTTATATCTTGCAGATTCATGTGCAAATGCTTCAAAATTTCTTCCCTGGTCTTTATTTGTGCTGCAACCATCTTTTTGTGTTTTCTTAGGCCTAGACCTCCTTTTAGGTGATGGGTTAACTTATTAGATAACTGAGTCTTATGCAAAGAACTGAATAAAGTTTAAATGTCTAACAAGTATTAAGTGACACAAGCCAAGCTTCACAGAGCAGCTTCTTCCTTTTTTTTAACCTCCTTTGATTTCCATTGTTACATTTTATTTTGCATACATAGTGTTGTCTGGATAGCAAGTCCTTTACATGCAGAGGGTTTGTCTGTCCAAACACTGACCTGCTGTTTGCACTACATAGTTGTGACAACCTTTTCAGTCAATTCAAATCATTATCTAACAATGCCAGTGTGACAAAAGAGTTAGCCTTGAACTCAAAAGAGGCAGCAAAGGATGGATAAAAAATGTGTTCTTTGCATGGACTGCTAGGGCTTTTTTTTTTGTCTGAGGTACACAGAGGGTCAAAAATATCCTGCATTTAGACTAGAAAACAAAGCTGTATTTGAACACTACATACATAAATATGTTATTGCCTAATGCTGACCATTGTTAACTGTTTAACAATACATTATAAAATATGATGGACCAGATAAAATCCTGAGATCTGTTTTGCTTCCCCACCACATCCCCACACCTTCAGTGTGACAAAAGTCTCAGTGCCAAGCTGGCTCAAGCTTACATGCCTGTACGTAACTTCTGCTTCTTGTATTCCTTAAAAGCAATGCAAAAAGCTGTGTGAATGCATCAAGCAGCTGTAGGACTCATGCCCAATTGCATTGCAAGCATATGACCTGCAGAGACTGTTGGACTGGGGCAGTCCAACAATCCAAGTGCAACAACAGAGCAGG